TCACAGTTTACCATACATTTTGGTTTTAATTAACCAACAAAATATTAATAAACCGTAAAGAGCAACATAAAACGCATAATTGATGCTGTGCTGTTTTAAGCGAAATCACGAAATTTGATCGCTCCTATTTAACACAATATTCGATTTTGTTATGGTCCGGTTACTTGTAACATGGTGATAGTCCAAGGTAGAACCAATAAAGAAGAACTCGAATACGTATATGTAATAACACAGATATATTACAAACAGGAATATATGCAGAGAAGTAGAAAAGTGTTAGTACGAACAATCAGGTTTAGTAGTAATTGTCTGAACGCGACACTGTTTCGGACTGCCTCTGACTCGACTGACTGACTCGCTCGTTCTGACTGACTGACTGACTCCTGACGGACTTCTGACGGACCTCACTCCAGACTGAACGGTATTTAGTCACCCCCCACTACGAGGGCATCATGTGGCACAAGGCCGGTTTAACGCGGGATCTCCGAGCCCGTGAGATCTCCGTGCCCGTGGGCTCGGCTAAAAATATGCCTTTTGAACCCGTATAAACGGGTTCAGGGTCGGTTTACCTCCCCGAAAGAGACTCCGCCCTTCGGCGTAGCCTCGTTCGGGTTCCTCCCCGCCCGAAGGCAGAGAGTTCAACCGATCAGCCGGTCAGCCGGTCGTCCGACTTCGGACTGAACTCCCTGCATACTGGTATTTCGTCAATTATTGTCGAACCAGTATGGATATGAGGCCCCGTGTCGACTTATCTGACACGTGGACCTTACATTCTTGTATGCAATATCTCAGACTCTCTCTTTCTCCTCCCTAGACCGTTGCTTATATATCTCTGATGACGCTTTCATCCCCGGCTGCATTGCAGATTCAACGGCATGATTAGGTGTGTCACTAATGGGCGGACAGTAGCTTAAATGTCAAACCAAGCCTGCATCTTGCGTATCTGAAAGACCCTGAACGTAAAGTCTAGTCAGATATAACCTGGGTCGAGGCACATATTTCCGTATGGAAAGTTATCTTGTTCAGGGGTCAGAACTGGCGACTAACAGAAGTTATCCCTTACGTGAGAGTAAACATATTAATGAGGGATACATTTCCAGATCTGTTTATTATTCAGTAAGACTTTGGAGCTCTCTCCTCTTGTGCCATGTGCCAGTCTAAGCTACTATTAAGGAAGAGTTGTTTTTAGCGTCTATATTGTTAAACATTGGCTGACAAATATTGTTTTTCTCTGGCCAGTAAATACGGAATGAGTTCAATCCTTCTCCGATTTTCCCTGGAATAGTTCAAGCTTAGATCAGTACATATAAATTGTTTATTTCCTTCGAAGGCCTTATTTGACGTGCCTCTTATCATTCTCTCGCCGTACGAGCTGAAGTTTCACTTCTTTGAAGGATGAACAAGAATTATCCGTAGTTCTGCCTTATCTGTAGGCAACTAATATTCGTTATCTGTAGACCAACGCTATTCGATTGCCACCCCGAAGCCACTTAAGATAGGCGTGCACATATAGACGGAAGACAATAGAAAATAGTAGTTAATACCTGATGAAAGAAAGAGGAATGAATCAACGGGTACAGGAAAAAAAAAACAGCTCCTCATCCGTTCGAAAGCTAAACTAAGCCTAAATTCTGCACTGCCGATAACCTTGGGGTTAATAAATAAGAGTGACTAGCCAATGTGTAAGAAATACCGAACTATCATATAAGTGAAAATGCAAACGTCCGTCATTGAAAATTTATATTACCTGTTACCAAAAGCCGTTTAACTTCCGATCAACTCCCGGAAATCTTTTCAAATACAGAACAGATGTCCTGCTTTATAACTCAATTCAAATGAAATGATGAGGAGGAGACAAAGCTGATAATATACATATTCATAGATATTTTTTATGATTATTTATACATTTTCCACGGCTTATACACCATTTGCAGGTTATTTAAAGCCATTTTTTTAAAATCGCAGATGGATGACTGCGTAGAAATACTAGCTACTCCGAATTTGGATGTGCGGGTGATATAATCGATAATGGCACGAAATTGTTAATCAGTGAGCCGAGTTCTAATTCCAGTTATATTCACTAACGCGTAATTACCTTTGGAAAATATATAAATCCACCTCTCCTTCCCCAGTTATAGGTTAATTAGTAAGAATTTTATCACTAAATCGTAATTATCTCCAGAAAACTCTTGGAATGTGAAAAAAAATATTATCTACTTTTAAATAACATGGAAATGTTCAATAAACCGTAAAAACATACTTAAGATCTAAAATGATTATCTGATTTTAAATAACCTGCAAAGGTTGATAAACCGTAAAAAATCAATCTATCAAGTGTTACCCAAAGTTATGGGTCAGTTATTAAAACTTTTATCACTAAAACATCATTATAAAAAAACAAAAAAAAACAAAAACACTTACCATGTGAAAATATAATATTTTCTAGCTTTAAATAAGCTGCAAATGTTTGATAAATGTTTGATATATATATATATATATATATATATATATATATATATATATATATATATATATATATATATATATATATATATATATATGCTAGCATCAATACACATCTGGTCAATCAGAAAAAGCGTTCAATTAGGATGGAGCAAAAACAGCATCATGTTGAGATGCAACATAGACTATATTCTTCAATTTCTTTAAGGTACTTTTATTAAAAACATTTTGAATTTATGCAGTTGCTGATATAACAGAAGTATTCTGTATTTATTCAATCGAAGTTAGTCGACGACATCAGTGTGCTACCAGGGATGTAAAAGAGGATACATTTTGATGAAAATTGGTTGAAAGATCAACCAAAAATAATAAAGAGAGCAGTAAAAATCGCCATTTTTCGCTATTTACGCGACTTTTCACTATATGGGAGAATTCAATTATCAAATTAAATGACTGTTAAACAATCAATTTATTGTTGGCTACAACTGAGAGAAGTTTGTATTAGATTGCTTGAAAATTGAGTTAGTTTTTAGTTTAAAATTTGTGTTGAAATCGATTTGTGTTGAAATCGATTTTTCGTTTTTCGCTAAACGAATTGGCGTATAAATAAAAATGAGCTATCTTTGAGCTCGTCATGATGTAAGTAACCTACATACCATGTTTCAACGAATCTAAGGAAAAAAGTTGAATTTAGCGATTTTTGAACGGCTTTATCGATTATTTATTCTTTAAAAATTATCGATTTTTACGTTAATAACCAATCTCTTACATTGCACAATGTATGTTCTAATTTTGCTCCAAATCGGTTTGATAGATCTCGAGTGAAAAGGTATCACACAGACATACACACAGATATCCCCTGTTTTATATATAGAAAAACGTTACTGCGAAAAACAGATTTAACACATGTGTATTTAATAACTAACTTTCCCAAATTGTCATTAAAGTTGCTAGCCCACACATTATTTGTTTCGTTGTAATTTCCTTTTCAAAGACTAGTTGAAATTTAGAAAGTAATATAGAAACAAAGTTGTACGACTCGAATGTAGACGACTTAGAGTAAAGCATATATCATCATCACTCGGTTTTGATCACTGAAAATATTGCGAAAAGAGACAAAATATATTGTACAAACGATGAGGTCAGCTAGTTAGTCAGCTGGAGCTGGCCGCGTGCTCAGCTATTAGCTGTTATTGAACTCTCTGCCTTCGGGCTTAGAGGAACACGGACGAGGCTATGCCGAATGACAGAGTCTCCTCCGGGGATGTAGACAGACCTGACCCCCTTTATGCGGGGTCTACGGGAAAATTTTGGCCAAGCCTACACGCTCGGATTGCCCCACATTAAATCCGGCCTTGTGCCACATCCTACCTCGTGAGGAGGTCGGTAAATATTACTGGCTACCTGACGATCGGGTAGTTAGTCAGCTGGAGTTGGCCTCGTGCTCAGCTTTTAGCTATTATCGAACTCTCTGCCCTCGGGCAGAGAGGAACCCGGACGAGGCTATGTCAAAGGGCAGAGTCTCGTCTGAGGTGGTAGACAGACACGACCCCGTTTATGCGGTGTCTGCCGGAAATTATTGGCCAACCCTACGGACTCGGATTGACTCATTTTAAATTCGGCCTCGTGCCACATCCTACCTCGTTGGTAGGTCGGTAAATATTAATATTTCTTTTCAAAGTTTAGTTGAAATTTAGAAAGTAACGATCCAATTGTAGACAACTTAGAGTACAGCATATATCATCGTCACTCGGTTTTGATCCCTGAAAATATAAACATATTGCGAAAAGAGACAAAATATACTGTACAAGAGATAAGGTCAGGTAGTTAGGTAGCTGGAGCTGGTCACGTGCTCAGCTCTTGGATGTTGTCGAACTCTCTGCCTTCGGGCTGAGAAGAACCCGGACGAGGCTATGCCGAATGACAGTCTTCCCCAGGGATGTAGACAGACCTGATCCCGTTTATGCGGGGTCTACGGAGAATTTTTGGCCGAGCGTACCGAATCAGATTGCCTCATATTATATTCGGCTTTGTGCTACCGCGTGGGGAGGTCAGTAAATATTACTGTACAAGCGATAATGGATTCTGACTAGAGGACAATCGTATTTCCCTGCAGAAACATTGGGTTGAACATAGGTAAGTGTAATAATAAGAATAATCCATAGACTAATAACAATGCTGCCGATGAATTTACATACGGCTGAAGATTTGCAACAACTGGTGAAGCTACAGCTGCTACACGATAGAGCATGTATAAGGGTAGTGGTTTAATGTAAAGAGGGTAGTGGTTTAATATTATTGTAACCTAGAAAGGGTTACTGAATGAGGAATAACCAAAACGGACGTTGGAAATGAAATGGTAATCTTTATAAGATCAACAAAATACAATACTCGCCAGCGGCGTGAAGTAGGTAAACCACTTGCAAATGGTGGACTACTTAACATATTACCCCCCACACACACACTTAGAATAGTGTCCAACGTATTTATGAAGATTAAGACATACCCATTAGTGTTCATAGGAACGCTATATAGCACTATGATAGATAGATAGATAGATAGATAGATAGATAGATAGATAGATAGATAGATAGATAGATCATCGTATGTGTTGTAACCTAGGAACGGTTATTAAACGAGGAATAAGCAAAACGGAGGTTGGAAATGAGATCTTTATAACATCCACGAAATAAAATACTCAGCAACGGCGCGAAGTAGGTAAAGCACTGCTCGTGGTGGACTGCATAGACAGCATATTACCCCCACTTACAATAGTATCCAACGTATTTATGAGGAATAGGACATACCCATTAGTGTTCATAAGTACGGTATAAAACACTATTTCTTACTGTTTGTTCCATATCTATCTATCTATCTATCTCTCTCTCTCTCTCTCTATATATATATATATATATATATATATATATATATGTTGTAACGTAAGAAGGGTTCAAAACAGAGGTTGGAAATGACATGATGCAACAAAATACAATACTCGCCAGCAGCATGAAGTAGGTAAACCACTGCTAGTGGTGAACTACTTATACAGCATATTATCCCCGACTTACAATAGTGTCCAACGTATTTATGAGGATTGGGACATACCTATTAGTGTTCATAGTTACGGTATATAACAAATATATTAGAATAATACGTAATATTTACAGGGAACAAAACACCAGAATACTAATAAAAAAAAACATGGGTCGGGCTGTTGCAAAAGAAAATTAAGAACAGTATGCGTTTTACGACGGAATTATTTAACCTGTCTATCCTTGATATATTTCCAAATCATTTACACAGCCATGTGGGAGAGGATACATATCCACCCTATTGCAGGCACCCCGCCGATAATCTATCGTTACTTCCCTGTTTAGTACCAACAGCTAAATTTTTTACAAGCGAACCCCGTTTTACCAAATCCACAGGGTTGAATCAACATGATTCCCTATGTATTTCTTGGTAAGGTCATTCTACAGGAATCACTATCTTGTGGAACTAGTTTTCCCCGTAAATGATTTCGCGAACATAGCAATATTCACCTCTTCATGTATACTTAGTTCCCACACAGCCCAGTCAGTAACGCTCTATTTCGAACGATCTTGGAAACAGTATTCGGTAAATATTTAGTAAAAAGAAAAAGAAAAGAAAATATTAGCAGATCGTAAGGGAACTAGAAGTCCTACCAGGATTTATTATCGGAGGACATAACGTTAACAACACAACATACGCAGATGACACTGTATCGGTGATAGACTCATAAGGGAGGCTGAAAGATTCCTTCTTTATTTTATTTTCTCACTGAAACCAAGTAGTGTCTTTCCCCTCTTTCCATCTGATCAAAACGAAATAGACAATTATTTATGAGGTATTGTCAAGATATAACACTCAAACGAACTAGCGAAAAGACAATATTTGGTTTCATTGAGAAAAGCAAGCAAGGAAGGAAGGGAGGAAGAAAGGAAAGGAAGGAAGGAAGGAAGGAAGGAAGGAAGAGCAGAAGGAAGGGAGGAAAGAAGATAAGAAGGAAGGATGGATGGAAGGAAGGAAGGGAGGAAGGAAGGAAGGAAGGAAGGGAGAAAGATAGGAAGGAAGGAAGGAAGGAAGAGAGGGAGGAAGGAAGGGAAAAAGATAGGAAGGAAGGACTGTAGGAAGGACTGAAGGAAGGGTGGGAGGAAGAGAGGAAGGAAAAAAGGAAGGAAGGAAGGAAGGGAGGGAAAAAGATAGGAAGGAAGGACTGAAGGAAGGACTGAAGGAAGGGTGGGAGGAAGAGAGGAAGGAAAAAAGGAAGGAAGGAAGGAAGGCAGGAAGGAAGGGAGAGAGGCAGGAAGGGAGAGAGAAAGGAAAGAAGGAAAGGAGGAAGGAAGGGAGGAAAGACAGAAATGTTTAATGGCTATTTCACTGAAATGGAAAACGTTATGTTCGTTTGTAACCACTTCTTAAATAAAAACTACCAGCATTCGTATTTATGATTGTTATTGCAATATTTTATTAAAGTTGTTAAGCTCAAATATCTGGAGATACGACAGGCGAATTTATCCGGATATTTTACTGTCGTAGAACTCGCTATGTATTTATTCACTAATTAACTTAGTTAAGAATAAAGATTCTTCAGAACATTTATTACATGTAATTGCCATGACTTAACTAACATAATCCAATAGAGAAATAAATAAATTTTCACCAATAACACTGATTTATTTACTGCTGACTTTGATCCGTCTTAATGAAACACCCTTTATAACGATGTGATAGAAGCATTTCTACGGATATTTTACTGTCGTAGAACTCGCCATGGGCTTACTCAATCATTAACTGACGTATTAAGATTCATCAAATATTTAAAACAGGAAAAGCATGAAATTTTCTAGGGTTAAAACTAGTAACAAATAATTTTACATTTTTTTTTTTTAATTTGAGGTGTCGTCTATAAGTGAGTAACATTTTCCGTGCGATATATAACAACAAAACAAAGACTTATACAAGTGATTCCGTTTGTTAAATTTGAAATGGGAATTTGCTACCAAAACGATTTTCGACAAACTATTTTAAGGAACCGAGTATCTGAAATAATAAGTTTCTTAGAATTGTGCATGGTAATAATAAACAATGATTTATGTAAGCAATCGGAAAATAGGAATTTAAAAAAAAATAAATGATAAATATATAAAAGTTATTAACAATATATTCCTAGTTCCAGAGAGAAAAAAAAAGTTTTTGTGGTTGCTGTTTACTTTTGGGCCCGTAAAACGTTTATTGTTAGCATGACACATCAGTTTTATCTTCTCTTTCTAATTTTTTTGTCTTCTTTGTTTTTCGCGAGAACCACCCTCGAGGCATATGTATCATTTCGGTATTGTGTTCAATGCATGTATGTGCCAACACTTAGTTCCCACGTAATAAAGCAATTACCTTACAATCGAAATGATAATCTTTCGGAATGTTTCGTTTTTTTGTTTTTGGTGCGTTTAACCTTATGCAGTTTACTTTTTTCCAGATCCTGTAACAACCAAGCTTTAAATTACAAGAGGTGTTGGTGAAGATCTGGTCTTTTACTGTGAAAGTTTCCCAACACCCGCTACACTTTGACAGTTCTAAGCGTTATTTATTTGTGGAAACCTCTTGCAATATGCCATCGAAATTTGTTTATCTTGCCGTCGTATTAGCCAACTAAGTAAACGTATTGCGTCGGAACAAAAGACCGTAGCAAGTGAATTTCAAAGATACTCAGCGATTTGTACGTAGGTTTATTCGGTAACATATGTACCATTGTGTTCCACTACATTACGCAAGCAGTGGGAATTTAAAGCCCTGGTGATCACGGCGGGTGAGTTAGAACAAGCCGGACGAGCCGTGCCAATTTATGTAAGGTCTGTAGGTGTTACCCTGAGGTATGTCGTCACCTTTTCCATCAGGACACATGGCACAGTGGATAATGGCGTTAATTAGATCCAGTGACAGGACGCAAAGAGTGTGAGTTCAATACCCGGTTAAGGCAGTGGAGAACTTCCAGAGGGAAATTAATAAGAGATAACTGATAACTGACACCCATCAAAACATGGCACGTAGAACTAGAACAGACTACACCACTGAGTGTTCAGTTTGAAATTCCAACCACCTGAAGAAGGACGGAGCGTACAATGGCCGAAACGTTGTGATAAATATGGCGACAAATATTAGGACAATAGTCCGAATAATGTAAATAATGTAAATTCTGATTGATTGTTGCCTTTAGCTTTCCCAATTTAGAAAAAGTGCATGTGTTTAAGCAGCGTCCAGTTTTGCAGAGGGAGAGTTCTTAATAAACGACGCCATTACGAGCCCACCTTATTAAAGCGTTCCGGATATTAGGTGGAAACTGGCTTTGAAGTTGTTTACGGTGGCTCTATTTCGTTTTCCCCATTATATTCATTCGCACCACATTGCTGTAAACAATTACGTTTTCATCGTTTGTTCTCGTTTCCGCACCACCCCCCAATGGGACTACTAAAAATTGAGAGACGTTAAAATAAAAATATATGTATGACTCATAAAACCCTTGAGCGTGACTGGATAAAAAATTAGCTTTGCAAACTACAGTGCGTATTTTGTTTCTCAATCTTTGTGTTTGAGGCAAATTAGGTGATCATAAAAATTGACTGCCCAGGTATCAAATCAAATAAAGATGTCCCTAGAAACAATGAAAACAGAAGTAGTGTTTAATCTAATATATGACAATAGAGACCGCACAATCTTCCCAAGGCAAAGGCTAGGGAGGGGGGGTGTAGATGTGAAGTAAAAGTAACAATCACGAAGCATATTGAGGAGAAAATATATAACCATCGTGGAAGTCTTAAGTAAAATTGGAACGACAATGTAACTGATGTTTACAACAAGAGAGAGATAATTAAAATGTCTTGGAAAGATGATGAGGAAAGAAGGTTTGGGGAATTTAACATTGACAGGTCATTATTAGAGGGCCATATAGGACATAAATGAATGAAATTGTCCGTTTATATAAAGAGGCGGAGTTAAGCGGAGTTAACATTAGTACTTAGTCGTGTGCTAAGCTCTTAGTGCTTGTCGAACTCTCTGCCTTTGGGCAGAGAGCAACCCAGACGAGGCTTTGCCGAAGGGTAGAGTCTCGTCTGGGAAGGTTGACAAAACTGACCGCGCTATTACGCGATCTACGGGGAATTTTTTTGCACGGGCCTACGAGTTCGGAAAAACCCACGTTAAACAGACCTTGTGTCACATCCCGCTCCGTAGGGAGTTCGGGTAAATACCGAGTTAGCATTAGGTCTTAGCCGCGCGCTAAGATCTTATTGATTGTCGTACTCTCTTCCTTCGGGCCGACAGGAACCCAGATGAGGCTCTGCCAAATATCAGTCTCTCGTCTGGGAAAGTAGACAAAACCGACCTCGTTATTACACGGTCTATGGAGAATTTTTTTGCCCGGGCCTACGGGCTCGGAAAAAAACCCACCTTAAAACGGCCTAGTGCCAACTCCCACTCTATGGGAAGCTCGGGTAAATACGAGTTCTCATTAAGTCAATTGCTAAGTATACCTTAGTGTAGTAAACCTTCTATTTGCTTACTTACTTTATTTATTTCCCTCTGTTATCTCGAACACACGAGATAAAACATAAAGGCAATGGAAAACTGCGAAAAATGCCGAATAGCCTACTTGACGAGATTATTAGATAGAGAGACATTCAAAAGCTATAGCGATTCACAAATCTTTAGATGTCATACAACGCAGATGTGAGATATTTGGAGTATCATAGAGATGTCCCGTGTCGTGTGACCTGTATTATTTTAATTAGCATTTCATTTTGATGATCATCAACGCGCCTTGTCAGAGCATTGTCAGTGGTTCAGATCAAACACGTCCTGGGTATGACGATAAACTACGTAAAACAGAAATGCCTCTGATCAATAGGTTTTGAAATGCGTTGAAACACCTTTTAATTGCTGGTGTTCCCATGTTCAACCTGACCCGGGCTGGTAGCAACTGTTAGCGTCCCAACTATGGGCAAATAGTTAACCCCTAAACTGGGGTCAAAACACCATGAAAGTTTAAAAATAGGTTTTTAGGAAAAATTATTACATTTTTGAAGAAAAAATATTACCAGTAATACATTTTAAAGAGAAAAATATCACCAGCAATACATTTTTGTAATTAATTATTACCAGCAATACATTTTTGAAGATAAAAAATATTACCAGTAAAACATTTTTAAAGGGAAAAAAATATTACCAGCAATATATTTTTGAAGGAAAAAAATATTACCAGCAATATATTTTTGAAGGAAAAAAATATTACCAGCAATATATTTTTGAAGGAAAAAAATATTACCAGTAATATATTTTTGAAGGAAAAAAATATTACCAGGAATATATTTTTGAAGGAAAAAAATATTACCAGCAATATATTTTTGAAGGAAAAAAATATTACCAGCAATACATTTTTGAAGATAAAAAATATTACCAGTAAAACATTTTTAAAGGGAAAAAAATATTACCAGCAATATATTTTTGAAGGAAAAAAATATTACCAGTAATATATTTTTTAAGAAAATGCATTTTGGGGAAAATATTACTAGTAATAAAAATCTTGTTGACATTAAATAACCCATTGAGGCCGATATGCCGTAAAACAAGACAAAAAAACCAGATCAAAATTCCCCATTCTGAACCGAGTAAGCCACTTAGGAGAAGTACACTCGGTTATGGAACTATATCCATAAATATCACTTTGCTCTTTATACAGAGCTTTTTCATCGGGTGCTGAGTATGCATCTCATTTTTCATCGTTTCCAATTTCAAATCAATAATATTTACATTTCCCAATCCACACCTTTATCGTATCGAAAGGCATGTTGACAAGTTACATTTCGGAGTGTGTAAACATGTCATTAATTTTAAGCACGTGTGAAAGGAAATCACTTGTTCAAATGCCGACTTTTAAAAAACAACACGACGTTTGCTCCAAATCAGTAAACTCGATACAAGTCGCCCGTTAGAAAATTGAAAATCGGAGAGCCGATCTCCAATTGCAATCGGGTCTGTTGTAATCACTTACACGCAAATAAGCTTGGGTTAATTAGTAAAACTTGTATCAATAAAATGTTTATTAGCCTAGGAAAATTATTATAATATGAAGATATTTTTTCTGGTTTTAAAAAAGTCACAAAAATCTGATAAGTCATAAAATGAAGAAAATCAACATGCATTAGAAAAATGAATCCCGTAGAATATACATTAGTGAATTTGCTTCGAGCTTGGTTCTTTAAAATGACAACATGACTGTATGAGACTGAGTAAAAAAAAAAAAAAAAAATCTGCGTGACTTTTTACCGGTTTCTGGATAAGTGTATGCATTGTTATTTTACCTGTTATCGGAGTGGAAAAAGTTCTTGACGTGCTAAATGCAATATCTCACAGATGCCTTTTGTATAGTCTTGAATTCATCGTTCTCCAGATATCGCTTAAACAGAAAGGTAGATGCTGTTTTCTTGCTTCAGGTGGTAAATCAAATTTATATATTTGTAAATAATATGGCAGACTGTGTTCTATTATTTGTAGAGTAGAGAAATCGAGTAGGACAAATGCGAATTTAAGTCCAGTGGGTCATCCCATACGGTAGTGAATGCTGGACAATCTCATGACAAAAGGATGCTCAGAATAACATGGACTGAACATAGGAGTAATGATGACGCTTTCGAGAAAATAGAAACAAAAGGGACACATAATATGAGAAAAAGAGATTTGATTTCTAGGATGCATAACAAGAAAAGACGGCTTGAAAGATTTGAGATTTAGAAGATACATTGAATCTAAAAGGGACAGGTGAAAACACCACATGACCGACATAACTAGCCTGAGTAAATAGATGACAGGTTTAGAAGAGATATCAAAAAAGCAAAATTTACTAAAGGCTACAAAGTACTGGAAATTGAGGAGCCCTTAAGCGACATGACACAATTAAATGACGACGAAAAAGTTCTAATTTAAAGTGGTTCTACAGAAGGATGCTGAGAATTCCGTGCACTGAACATGTGTGTTTTAGAGGAAATGGATACAAAAATGCCACAATAAGAAAAAAGAAAAAAAAATGAAAAAGTGAATAAGAAAGAAAAAGAAGACAAGAGAGAAAGATAGTAAGAAAGAAAGAACGAAGGAAAGAAAAAAAAAAAAAAACTTACAAGCAAGTTGTAAATAAATAAAGAAAATACTAATACAGAAAATACTAAAAAAAAAACTAAGAAAGAAATGAAAAAGAAGTAAAGAAAGATTTATAAAGAAAAAAGTAAAGTAAGAAAAAGAAAGTGAATGGAAATAAGTGAAGAAGTCAAGGAAGGAACAAAAACTCGCGCGGAAAACGTACTGAAGACAGAAAGAAATTAAAAAAAAAGAAGGAAAGAAAGATTAAGAAAGAATGACGCAATAAGAAATAAAATTAAAAAAAATTAAAAAAAAGAAAGTGAAAACTGAGAAAGAAAGAAAGAAAGAAAGAAAGAAAGAAAACCTCATTCAAGTAGTGGAGAAAGAAAAAGAAGAAATTCATATAGAAGGAAAAAGAAAGGAAGAAAGATTAAGAAAGAATAGCACGATAAGAAATAAAAGAAAAAAGATAAGAAAAGGAAAGTGAAAACTGAGAAAGAAAGAAAGAAAGAAAGAAAGAAAGAAAGAAAGAAAGAAAGAAAGAAAGAAGATCTCATTCAAGTAGTGGAGAAAGAAAAATTAAAGAAAAAAAGAAATTCATATAGAACGAAAAAGAAAGGAAGAAAGAATGGCACAATAAGAAATAAAAGAAAAAAGATGAGAAAAAGAATGTGAATACTGAGAAAGAAAGAAAGAAAGAAAGAAATAAAGAAAGAAAGAAAGAAGACCTCATTCAAGTGGTGGAGAAAGAAAAATTAAAGAAAAAGAAGAAATTCGTATAGAACGAAAAAGAAAGGAAGAAAGAATGGCACAATAAGAAATAAAAGAAAAAAGATGAGAAAAAGAATGTGAATACTGAGAAAGAAAGAAAGTAAGAAACTCATCTAATTAGTGAAGAAAGAAAGAACGAAAAAAAGAAAGAAATAGAAGAAACTCACACAGAACGAAAAAGAAAGGAAGAAAGCTTAAGTGAACAAATATTCCACAAAAAGAAAGCAAATGAAATGTTGGATAAAAAAGAAAGAAAAATATATAAAAACGATAGAAAGGAAAGAAAGAAAGTAAAAATGATAACAGAAATAAAAATAAGAATGATGAACTCATATTAACAAAAAAAGGAAATTATTCTCTGAACAAAGAAGGAAAGAAACGAAAGAAAAAGAAAGATTTTAGGATAATTTTTCAGTCCATGCCACAAAGATTGCACTAATCGCGATTGCAAAAATGAAATGGTCCATCGTGCTAATCAATTCTTTCGAAAAACATCGAAAGCCAACGGCCTACAGATCGTTACGATGTCAAAAAAGATGGTTGCGCAAACCGAACTTCCGGTTGGTTATATTGCTAGTAATTAGGAAAGGGTCTGGATCAAAGAGCCAGCCAAATATAAAGGAAATAAAAGTATATATATATATATATATATATATATATATATATATATATATATATATATATATATATATATATATATATGTGTGTGTGTGTGCAGCGTCTTACAAAGTTAATTTACGCGATGCGGCGGTACGTTGATAAACGTCCGAAGCTGTATAGATAAATATGTCTGCTGATCAGTTCGTATAAAATGTACACTTCGACATCAATAATCCATTTCAATCCCGCAGGTTTTATTAAAAAAAAAAAGAAAAAGCCGTTTTATATGGGCTGATTGTTAGTAACTTTTTTGTGTGTGTGTGTTTATTTTCTTTATTAGAAGTAGAATTTCTAAGTCGTACTGGATGACAGTAATAGGCTATCCATGTTGTGGGTGCTTTTCAAATTCATTTCGCCCAGTAAGAAAAAACATTTTAGAAAAACTGAATAAATGACTAGATAAAAGAATAGATTAGAATTGGTTTATTAAAATATATGGATAGCTAAAATGAATTCTTGTGTGAATGATTGAACCGCTCCATAAGAGCTTTCTATTTTGCGGTGTTTCATTATTTTCTTTTAAAGTTAAAAACTTTTTTAATCACTTCTGTCGTGTTTTTTTTTTTTTTTTTTTGCTTTATTTTTCATTCTTCTAAATGATTTATTTCATCATAGTCATTTCCAAAGACTGATACCGAGATCTCATAAAAAGTATTATACTTAGAAATCTCTGGAAAAATAAAACTGTCTAATCAGAGCAAGATACAAAGACGAACTCTATTCTAACCAATCAATCTTCGATTAAGGTAAATTTGCTGAGAATCAATAATTGTCGAAAGATTCGCCTCCAGACACAATTCTGAAATCATATTCTTCTAAGACCTTTTGAAAATATGGATAAAAATTCAGTGAACTGATTTAGTTCCCATCATGTCTTACGAATCCATTCCCTTCGTATTCCATTGGTAAAAAAAAAAAAAGTTCTATACAGACGACTTCTTTCCCAGATCCACTACTTTATGGTAGAGACTCCCAAGTAGATGCTTTTCGAACACTACAATCTTAAGGACATATAGCCCAGTGGAGAAAGACGTTGGTTAGATCCTGTGAATAGACCCAAAGTGTTGTGAGTTCAATACAAGGCTACAGCAGCCGCGAAGCAAAAAAAAAAAAAAAAACTTGAAAAGTTAAAGGAAATAACTGAAACCTCAGTAAGAGACATGGCACGTGAAAGTCGAACAATCTATCCCGCTGGACGAAATAAAAGGTTCGGTTCGAAATTCCAATCCCCTGAAGACGGTGGGAGCGTACAACGGCCGAAACGTGGTGAAAATGGCTTTGAAGACGAGGATAAAAGTCTGAATCATGTAAATAATGTATACAATCTTAACCTATCCAAGTCTTGTGGCCAGCCGTTTTCTATTGTACGCATCCTCAGAATCTCCATTTTTTTCCCCTCAAAATGGGGGGGGGGTAAGTCAACACAAAACGGCAACAGCCTGTTTCATGCTGCAACACAATCTTCAGGCTAATTGTAATATGTCCATTTTGTTAGCACTAATACAGTTTATATCCTTCATAAATTTTATATATATATATATATATATATATATATATATATATAGAGAGAGAGAGAGAGAGAGAGGCTACGACAGAAATACTTCCAACATAGACCATCCCAAAATACTTTTCCTGTCTTACCATTATGTTGGAGGTATTTCTGGGAGGAATATGTGGGAAGTTTTTCTGACGCAAGATATATATTATCACCCACCGCATTATTGGCAACACTTACAAAAAAGTCTACCAAGTGACCAAAGAAATATAAAACCATACATACATACACACACACACACACACACATATATATATATAAACAGTACACACATATATATATATATAAACAGTACACACACATATATATATATATATATATATATATATATATATATATATATATATATATATATATATATATATATATGTGAGGTGTTAATGAAAACCTAAAAAACCCCTATAGGTGTGTGTGTGTGTGTGTGTGTGTGTGAGAGAGAGAGTTAAAAAACTGAATTAGTGATAATAAAACATATTAAAATTGCATATATAAAGGATGGGGAAATGTAGGTAAAATAAATAAATCACGTGAAAGAGGCGAATCACAACAATAAAAGAAATCACAACGAAATAACAAAAAGCTAACAAGTTTACAGTCCACGCTCTTCGGATCCAATCGAGGACAAACGTGTAATTGGGATCGCAACTTAAAAAAGACAATAAATAAGAACTTCCAGGGAAACAGTAGGGGTCGAACAATATATAGTATATATAATTATCCAGCAATTATATTAAATCCCAGCAGCAAATCTTTCCGCTTCCAGAGGGATGGCTGCTTAGACTTAATGTATAATGAATCTAATATTCTCAAAAATATAATCTGTTTTAGTACAACGGATTAATTATTTCATTATCCTTTCTCTTATAAAACAATATTAATATATCCGTTCTGTTATCACTAATATATATATATATATATATATATATATATATATATATATATATATACATATATATATATATATATATATGTATGTGTATATATATATATATATATATATATACATACACATATATATATATATGTATATGTGTGAATGTATATACATACACACACACACACATATATATATGTATATGTGTGTCTGTGTGTATATATATATATATATATATATATATACACATACACACACACACACACACATATATATATATATATATATATGTATATATATATATATATATAGGGAGAGAGAGAGAGGACATCTGAAGTTATTATGCAAATCATATAAACCTCAATAATAAATTTTAAAAGATTAACTTCGAGGTAAAACCAAAACTCGAGTTAAACTTTCTACATATTTATGTTATATATATATATATATATATATATATATATATATATATATATATATATATAATAAAAATCAGTCAGTTATGTGCCATGCGTGATAGACGCTTAGGCGATCATGTAGCCTTCGATACATGACTGACGAGGCAGATATTTTTTCCCCACTGTATGTTGCTATTTCTTTCTGTGGTAGACCAGTTGTCGTCCAAGGGTATAGAACCCGGTCTGTCCTGCTATTTACCTATAGCTGTGGGGAGGAGAAAAGGATACATACCTTTCCCAAGGGTATTAGCACGTCAGTGAATGTAATGGATTTGACTGGAATTCGAACACAGCTCCCCGATTCCTCAATCCAAACCGCTATCCATTATAGTATATTGTAAAAGGTGGCTGTCAACAGCCGCGTTTAAAAAGACACAATAAAAAAAAAGCGCTTAATTTATAATCCCAAAAATTTCGAGTTGTAAAGCAAGACGTAATCAGGTTTCGACGGTGGGGTATCCTCAGGCATGTAGAATGAAAGATTTTAGTTGATTCCACCACGATTAAATACGAACACCGGAAATTAGGGGAAACGGATGAGGGAAAAAGCGATAAAAAACACTTAGATGACACCTCTGATCTTTCATTTAGCAGTTCGTCCTTGTTTGGGTATGTGGGAATAGTTAATTTTCCCTCTTAGCATAGTTTACAATAGTTTCCTCGGACACTGCCCGGCTTCTTTTATTTTTAATAATTTTCCACTTCATGTGTGGAACTCTACAATTAACTCCCTTTAATCTACAAACATAATTTGACAATTTTTGCATTTCTATGGCTCTTGAGCCTAAAAGAGGTAGTATATTTGTAATGTCTCCTCTTAAATGGGCAACCAATGTATGTTTCATTAAAATTTTGCCGTCACTAACCTCCGCTGAGTAAACCACATCTTCTATCTGACACCTGTTTCACAAAGGACAATCTATGCAGTTGTAATTTTTTCTGCTTGTAATAATCTGATGCTGTGACTTTTTATAATGTTTAAAAAGTTACTTGTGCAACTGAAGCTGAGCTTTACTTTGCTTCTGTTAGACACCTTAGCTAGGATAGCGTTTCTTGGGAAATGCTTACCCAAAACATTAAAGATATTTTTTTTTCCGATTTTGGTCTTCAATTGCATGTTAAATGGGAAGTGGGGTTTAAACCAAATGACGTCTCTTCTCCTAGTTGTGTGCTTAGGATGGACGGGTGGCGAAAAGGACAAAACAGTATTATGGCCTTTCAAGTGATGTTGTTGAAATTGATTCAGCATCATCACTTCAGAAGACACCAACGAGGCTTAAGATCGACATAATAAAAACAAAAAATTAATAACATCCGAAGATTAGTGTTTATGTCATTCAACTTATCTAATTTGGAATGTTTACTGACTTTATCCAAGATACTGATCTCTATAAAGTAACAACGTGAGAGGCGCAAAATTAGCTATTTCAGTCCAGTTCTAGAGCAGCGGGGTGATGACCATCGCACTAAGCAATGTCACCCCTTGTGAACAGGGAAAGGTTCATTATAAGACGACTTAGGTCAAATAAATAATAAATTTAAACTCATTAATGAATAACATACTGTTAAAAGATATCTTTGGCAAACAATACATATATTTCCATCTTGAAGTTACCTGAATATATATTAAAGCTTGATGATATAAATGTAATGATTTTCGAAAGTACTTGCAGCACCTGAAGATGAAATCCATCTTAAAGTTATAAACATAAGGGTGGCGTTATTTAATGAATGATTAGTAAGTTAATGCTCTGTTAAATTTGTTAGCGAAGAGATTTCGCCATTA